GATTGTGATGCATCTCATGTGGGAATTGGAGGATACTCAGCCAAGAAGGACATCCAATTGCCTTCTTAGTGAAAGACTAAATAAGACAAGGAAAAAATATTCTAGTTTAGATGTCGAGCTCTATGCCATTGTTCAAGCTCTTCGTCATTGGCGATCATATCTTATTCAACGTGAATTCATCCCGAACTCGGATCAAGAAACTCTCAAATATATTAATTCTCAAGTGAACTTGAATAGAAGGCATGCTGGTAGGTTATTAGTCCTACATGAATACACTTTCATGTTGAGGCATAAGAGTGGAGACTTAACAAAGTAGTTGATGCACTTAGTCGAAGAGTTGCATCGTTGGATTTCATGATTTAATGTTGGAATGTTTTGATGTCATACGAGAGATGTATCCAGAGGATTCTAATTTCAAGGAAATTTATCAAAAATGTAAAGAAGGTAAATATGAAGATTATTATTTAACTTGATGATTTTCTTCTGAAGGGAACACGTTTATGCATTCCTAAATATTCTCTTAGAGAGTACATCATCAAAGAATTTCATTGTAGGGGACTTAGTGGACATTTTTGGAGAGATAAAACTTTGTTGCTAATTAAGGAAAAATAGTTTTGGCCTACGGAATCGAGATTGGCACCTCTGCTGTCCATTTAACAAAGTAATTGAATAAGGAAATCAATTACTTCGGATCGTGACGAAGTTTCTTAGCCATTTTTGGAGGTGCCTATGGAGCAGATTGCCACTAATTTGCTTTACATTAAGTATTGCTTACCGCCCTAAAACAGAGGAAAAAACTGAGGTTCTCAACTGCACATGGGAAAATTCACGTCAAACTTTTGCTTCCAAACGGCCGAAGCAATGGGATACCTTTCATTCTAGAGTTGAATTTGCTTATTATAATTATGTTGTACATTTCTCTAAAGGAAAAAGTTCGTTTACAATTGTTTGTGGGCACCATCCTAATCATTATCTTGACCTTGCTAAAATTCCAACATTTAGCAAGACTGCTGAAGATTTTACAAGAACTATGGCAAGGATTTAGGGAGAAGTAAAGAAGAAGCTTCAAGAAAGTAACAAGTCTTACAAAGATGCTGTAGATGCCCATCAAAGAATTCCAGTTTTCAAATAAAATGATCTTGTTTCGATTTATTTATAGAATGAAAGGTTTGCTGTGGTACATACAACAAACTTAAAGAGAAGAAGACTAGTCCTTGTTGAATTTTGAAAAAAATTAATGACAATGCCTACAAAGTTGAGCTCCCAGATTACATACACATTCATCATACATTCAATGTTCGTGATTTAACCCCTTACCATGGAGAGAATGATCTGAACTCAAGTATGAGTTCTTTCCCACTCAAGGAGGATGATGTAGTGTTGGAAATTTGTGGAACTAAGCAGTATTCAGTATTATCATCATAACTTTCTCTAGAAAACTCATATTCATGCATGGTTGGTAGCATTGGAAACTATATTCATTTATCTTTGCAACAATTATTATTCATGGTCGCATTCCAGGTAAATTGGGAGATATGAAGGTTCAAAGTGAGGATTGGAACTAGGAGATTACATTTGGGAGTTGAAGAGCTTCTAGTTTTTAGTTTTCTGCATTTGTTTATCCATTCATGTATTTAGATGCATTATGTTAGCATTACCTTGTCTGATGAGAAGGAAGGGCGGACTTGAATATTTAATCTTTTTGATTTGATAATTGAATTGGAAAATAGAAGTTATCTATTTTTTTTATTCCCAACTTTGTGAAATCGAATTTGTCATATCTTTAAATCTTTCATTTCCCACTATTTTCCTTCCCTCATCATGGGGAGATAAGTATTATAGTTAAATATGGAATTATGTAAATTGTTTGTTGAAATTCGGAATTAGGTTAGTTTTTATGCAAAACTAATGAGAAGTTCTTAATAATTTGTATTTTCTAATTCAAGTTTTCAAATATTTTGGTTAAAAGTTTTCTGAAGATTCAAATGTTATTGACAAATAGGAATTTTTTTGAATTTTTCCTAACGCTTATAAAGAGTTTTGATTTAATGCGACCAAAAGATGTCTTTGTGTAAAAACTATATAGTGGGAGCCAAGATAAATAGGTGTACAAATCTAGTGTAAAATTATTTTAAAATATGGAAACTGTTATGCCTTGTCCAACAAGGCTCATCATGTGGCAGCCAGATAAGAAAAAGCAAGAAGTCACTCAAGATCGCACTCCGCATTACCTTATCCTCGTAAGCTTTGGCAGAAGCAATTAGGCAAAATGAGCGATGTGGTTCGGACATTTCGTTTGGAGCGAAATCAACCCATCCGAAGCTTCACGTCTGAGGCGAGGGGTCATAAGTTACTATAGTGTACTTTTGAAGCAATGAGTCTTTGCTTCAGAAGGCATATTCCATGACACCACTTTAGCCTAAAGATCTTCGTTCAAAGATAGCTTGACAAATTCGATAGCTCTGCAACATGCATTTTTAGTCAATTTTTTAGTCCACTTTAGGTGGCAGACTGGGGATTTTCAATTTATTTCAAGTCACCATAAGCCTATGACAACTGGGATTGACACATAACAAGTGTGACCTGTGAGCCATTGGGATGATAACGAGTGTCATATATCCGATATTGCTTGGTAATTTCTCTTCAACCGAATCCCATTTATTCACGTCGATTGTCTCTTTTACACCCATAATATCTTTTACAATTGACTGACTTGAGCGACGGAGTGCATGTGATTGCCTTTCTCATCATCGAAAAGGAGGCCACGTGCATCTAACGCTTTATCCAAGTGTGCGGGAAACTTTACATGGATGTGATTGGAATCGAGATCTATTAGCCATGTGTTCTAGCTGTTGGAAATTGAATGAAAAATTAGATACTTTTTCAGTTTCAGAAAAACATAAACTTTTTATTTCAGCCATTACTTTCATCCAGTTGAATGAAAATTAATCTCATCAGTTTCAGCCTCTTCAGTTTCGGCCAGCCATTACTCTTCAGTTTTAGGAATTTATGGCCACTCTCTTCTTCTATGTGTATAAATAGAAGAGTTCTCTATTGGTTGAATACACAAGTGATAGAAACAACAAAAAACACAAAGAGAGAAATACAAGCTTTCCTTCCACTTTCTTCTTTCCGTTTTCAGATTTCTTTGAGAGATAGAGGAAATTCACAGCCGGTTCGTAGGTGGTTAACGTAGTGCAACGTGAACCGACGACCGATTGTATCCTGAGAATCGAACACCGATCAAAACCTCGTGCACCCCGGTGAAGCGGCGAATTCGATTTAAGGAAATCGTGTAAACATGGGCCTTCGGTTTGATTGGTTTACTTTGATTCACCTTTATTTTTCCCTACACTAGCTGTTACAACTATGCTTCATCTACATGAAGAGATTTCATCTCTACAGAATGGTACTTCGCCTCTACAACTATACTTTGACTACATAAAGAAGCTTCACCCATTAGAACAGAACTTTACTCTGCTAATAATTTCCTACACACAAGCCTCGTCAACTATCGAAGTTATGCCCTATATGAGTATTCATTTTTGGACTTGGTGGGACTAATTTGTTACGCCCCGTTGGACGAGGCAATTATTATTTTTCCCTAATGTCACCTCAAAATAAGTACCATCGGAACACTTCATCACTTACAGCAGATGACGTGGACCATAACTTCGTTGCCTCTCTAACCATGAAAATTAGATTTTGAACTAGTCACATCAATCAGGACATTACCTCAGCCAACCTGAGCTTCGAAGGTAGTTCATAAGCCTCCCATTTGCATTTATTATCCTTTGCCTCACTTACTCCTACTAAAGTTTACGCCTTATATAAATATTCATGTGTGGACTTGGGTAATTAATGACATGCCTCATCCAATGAGGCAGACCACGGCGTAGTTAGCTAAGAAATAGAAAGAAGTCACTCAAGACCTGCAATCCACTTCACCTCATCCTCCTAAGCTTTGACAAGAGTGATTAGGCAAAAGGGGCGAGGTGGTTTACACGTTTCTTCGAAATGACATAACCTCACTTGAGGCATCATAAGTTGTTACAGTATAATTCTGAAGCGATAGGCCTTTGCTTCACAAGGCATCTTTCATGAAACAGCTTCAATCTAAAGATCTTCCTTACAAAGATATTTCGTAAGCCCGAGCCAATGTTTTCAGTCTACTTTTTAGGTGGCCATACCTTGGACATAGGATGACTACTTTTCAGATGATTTAAGGTCATCATAGACATAGGATAATTGGGATTGACACCTATTAGGTTTGGCTCGTGAGTTATTGGAATGAAGCCACATGTCAAACATCCAATGGACATCACCTCCTCTTCCCTCTTACTGTATAAGCTCACACTTAATATCTTCAAAATGTATTGCAATTCTATACATTTATAGTATTGCTTGATATTTTCTCTTCAACCTGGATCCCATTTGCTCACGTCCATTGTCTTTCCCACACTCATAATATCTTCCACTATTATTGACTCAAGTGTCGGAGTGCCCACGACCGCCTATCTCACCACCGGAGAAGAGGCCACTTGCATCCACGCTTTGTCTAAGTGTGTGAAAAGCTTACACGTGAACGAGAGTGAAGCTATTAGGTTTGTTGCCATGTATTCTTGTGGGATTTCGAGATCAACAGAAACATCCCAATTCCCGTCACCCATTAGAAAAAAAGTGCCTCCCTTTTCTCCTATAAGCACCACCCATTAATACTTAATTCTTAACCTAGATTTAAAAATGCCAAGTTACAATTACAGTAGGTATTATTTGCTTATTTCTAGCGCACTCTTTGTATAAAGAATTGCTTAAAACCCTTTTTTTGGATTAGCTTTGGTGTTGTCAGTTGTGTAAGGAGAAGAAAAGCATATTTCATATGCAAATATGCCTGACTTCAACTTTAATACCTATTTTTCTGGTTTATGATAAGACAAGATTGTGGGGCAGCATTCAAAACCAAGAAAGATGGAATTCATTTATTGGCAATTGCATTCAAAATGTTAAGGTTTATTATTCCTTTTGGGATTCCTTTGTGCAATGGTTTAGCATTGTTCAGAACATTTGCACGCCAAATATGGAGATTCTATGCAGGCCAAAATCAGTTTTTGTGTGATTCCATATTGGTGGAGCTTGCTGAAGAGCCTGTGATTTTGGGTCCTCCTTCACATGATAATTGTTCTTCCAAAGGTAAATCATACCATCATTCATGCTAAGACTATTACTTATTTATTAAAGTTGAGATTTTTTCTTTTCTTCTACAGATTCTTTGTCAATTGTATTATATTAATTTAGTTTTATAAACAACCTTACCTTAATTTGCTTCTAAAGAAACAACATAAATTGAGGGAAAATTGCAGTTATTGGTCACCAATCCCCCCAACCTAATGTTTTGACACGAACTGTCCCCAACGTTCCCGTTTCATTGCATTGTTCGTCCTAATGGACAATTTCCGCAAAACAAAATTTCAGAAAAAGACAATATATGATTAAATAAATAAGAAACAAAATAAAGAGAGAACTAAACGAAAAAAATCCCTCGTGTCATCTCCAAACCATCTCACCCGATCCACCCCATTAACCACCGCCATCCAAAACCAACTTCAGTCACCACGGTTTGCTTAAGTTGGAATTGGGAGTAGGGACGAAGAGGAGCTGGGTGGCAAACATTTTTTTTCCCTTTTTGTTGTTTCTTATTATTATAATTGTTCTATAAATATTAACCTCTTATCAACATTTCTTGCACATGCCATTATAATAGACTTTTGGGTGGATAGGATGAATGGTGCAACGAATTGGAGATGATTCTAATCAAAAAATTAGGTGGGGGATAAAATTGCTAAAACACTTCAAGATTGATTTGAGGATCAATACTGCAAATTTTCCTAAATTTAGTTACAAAGGTAAAATTTTTGTTATTATAAAGATTTTTAATTTTCTTATTCTAAATTAAGAGGAGACATGTTGCAGATAATGCCTTTACTTCTATAAATATAGAAGAGAAGACTAGTGAAGAAGTGGTGAAAGATATGGATTCGACAGTTATGACAAATCAAGTAAGATCTCCAAAGAAAATGGTTAGTTTTAATGAGAGTGTAGAGGAAATAAAACCAAATAGCTCGAGAAGGAAAAAGACACAGCAAGGCGAGAAAGAGGCTAAACCTACGAAGTCCATTCTCAAGGTGGGTTCTAAAATATTTCAAAAATAAATTATCATGTGTAATTAGAGATTCAAAAGTTAATTTATTCGAAGTTATGGTTACAATATGTTTTGTATCCTCTAAATTAAACCTAAAGTTCATTACCGTAAATAACAATGACAATCCCTCCCAATATTTTCTAAAGTTAGTCTCCATCGCTACTACAATATTGGAAAATGGAAAAATATTTTATATGTATTGAAATATTAACAAAATAATGAAATAGTGAGAACAAGTGAATTAGTGAGATAACATACATATGAACAAGCGTTCATAAAGTTATAGGAAACTTGTTTACTGAGGGGATTGTAATAAAGTTATGTGTGTACCCAATTTTTTCTAATTTCCCGTCTATGAATTTTAGTCCATCTTTGACAATTAAATAAAAAGTGTGACAAACACAACGTGCATGTAATACTGTACTGCCAAAATCGAGGTTAAATTGTCTAGCTAATTTTTTACATAATACTATGTTGACCGACACATGTCCAAAATATAAAACTACACATTTTAGATTCACAACTAAATTCTCAAATAATGATTATTAAAGCATTAAAAATATTTACTCAATTATGATGATTAAATATTCAAATAGCCATTAAACTTCAAAGTTTTTTCAGATGGTTATCGAATTTATCAAATTGTTATCTCATCTATCACTCAATAACTCGTTAAAAAATTCGACTAACTCGTTGATTTGATAAACGGAAACACATTATTATTGTTAATTGACGATAAATGTGTCAAAAATACGCTTATAAAAATGAGACTAATGGGAAAAAGCAATAAAACAATAATATTAAATAAAAAATACAGATAAATAAAATAAGTAAAGGTTAAAATTCTATCATATTTTTTATAAGCGCTTTTTAATGGATAGAAGCCCTTTTTTGGTTAATTGGTCATCAAATAACGACAATAACGTTCCATCTCAGCTTTCATTTATCACGTTAGGAGTCCATTGAATTTTTTAATGGTGAGTTATGGAGTGGTAGATAAGATAACAATTTTATAAAATTGGTCACCTTTTAAAAATCTTTCAAAGTTTAATAGTCAACATAATAATAATTAGATGACCATTTGAAAAATAGTTAAAATTTAACAATTTTGCTACATATAAATCAAGTTTGACATCAAAGCCTATTTGAGCCACATTTTTTTTTTTTTTTTTGTCTAAAATACATTTTGAAATAGTGTTTTGATGAAAAATATGTGATTAAAAAATAAGAAATAATTTTTAGTTTGCATGTAATATTATTTTATTAAAGATTGTGTGGTTGAAAATAAAATGGAAAAAAATATATTTTGAAAATAATTGAAACATTATTTTCAAACAAGGGCACATTGTGTGAGGTGACAACTTCTCGTACATTGATTTTAATAATATTTTTTTAATCAAGCCATTACGGTTGGCTATTAACAGTCGGTTGGCTGTTACGGCGGGTAGTTTGAAAATAATTATTCCATGGTGGGGGTAATTTTCTAATAAAAACTTCCTTATAATAATTGTTATCGGCTCCACTTCCAAACAT